GTGACGTCCATTTATGTCCCAATGGAAGATTAGAATTTTTAGCTAATACACAGACATCATTTGGTTTATTTCATCGGAATGCTGTTCGTTGTTCTAAATGTAAAAAGCAAACAATTATTACAAATTTTCCACCAAACGATCCCATTGAAAACAGTATATAAGTATCAAATCAACAGTTATATTTGTCGTCTGCTGCGACTGGTATTGGATATGATTCATTAAGTTTAATTATGTCATCATTATCATTATCAATTACATCCAAACAAAAATTTATGATTTATTACACATATTTGCTCAAAAACATTTTAAATCAACAATTCAAAGAATACGCCATGGTGAGGAATTAATCAATGGTGACGATCAAATAATATTGAATGTAGGCGTTTCTTTAGGTAAATAAAGGAGTTCTTAAGAACTTACTTGAGTAACTATTACTCAAGCCAGCTTTCTCTGATTTTTTGGAAGTTATATGCTCTTCCTAAAAATTGAGGACCCGGACCTTTTTGACCCGTCAGAGTAGCAGAAGATCTCAATAGCCTGCATTTCTTTGTTTTGCCATCAGATGGTACACGGAAAAAACGTGGATTTACCTCCAAGTATGGTATTGTGTTTCTGATTCACGTTGATTCTGGAAAATGTATTGACCATGAAGTTTTAAGTTTGAACGGTGAATCATGTAATTTACAAAAAGAACGTTTATCCCCATCGAAATTTCGTAAATGGTTTCGACATCATGAGTCGTCATGTTGAAAAAATTACCATAATAAATCCAAAGGTACGTATGACATTTTCTCTCTACAATGCAGTGAATTTCGTGCATTGCCATTTTGAGTTTTATATTATTTTAGGAATGGAAATGGACGGTGCAAAAAGATTATATTCAAGATTTTAGGACCATGGGCTGAGGTACAGGTGGCTAGTGTGCGATGGTGATTCATCTGCATATAATCATATTAAAAATTATTACATCGAGTTACTGAAACAAAAGTTTCAAATTGTCGAAGAAAACAATAATGATGATAGCAAATGGGGTGATACGTCTGACGAGAAAAATGAAGAAGAAGGAAGAAAAACAACAGCAATCAATTACATCAGATATTGAGGATAACGACGAAGTAGAAGAACAAGATCAGGAGAAGGATTATACTGAAGATAAATCAAATAACAACTTAAGAACAATATATGAAAATCTTATTGTTTCAAAAGAAGACTGTGTAAACCATGTTAAAACACGCGTTATTGCAGATTTATTAAAAGTTAAAGCTGTTTACTCTCATTTTGAAATAGTAGATGGGAAAAGGAGAAAGAAACGTTATGGTAAACCCTATGATGGATCCAATGGTAGAATGACAACAAAAATGATGAATAAAATATCCAATTATTATGGTCGTGCTATTCATGATGCCAGTAGAGAAGTTCTTGGTAAGAAAATAATATCTGATTCTTGGTTCTACACTAGAACCGAAATACGATTTACGACTTGTGCATACTAGCACGGCCATCTCACAAAAAAAGGGAAACATTCTGAGGACTTTCTGCAGTGGAATAGCATCTCATCAAAGACAAAGGTTTCTAGGAAGAGGGTATCCATTCAAAACGTTTAGCTCATTTCATTACAACGGATGTAATATCTCTTAAAGGTATGGATGAAAGTGAAGCGGTCCGAATAACTGTGTATTATCTAATTTACTGTCAAAAGATGAAAAACGAATATTAAGAGCCGAACGATCAATTTCACAACGTGATACTATACTCAAAGAAAAAAGTAAAAAACGACCTCAAGCGATACAATCTATGGCAGATAAAACAGAATACGGTAGTGGTGAATATTAATTTGTTTTTGCTTATTTTACAAAGTCCAGATCACTGAAGTTATTGTGGAGTAGTTTTTTTCTCTTTTCAGCAGCTCTTATTAAATTGTATTGAAACTAAATGATTTGTTTTAATCTCGTTTATTGATGTAAAAGTAGAAAATCCAAAAGATACAAGCCACAAAAGCGGATCGAGGATCCATATACATGTGGTCACCGTAAAAAAAAGAAACAAACCCTTAACTGTTATAGATTTGCTAACCCATACTAAATAGTACAAGAGGAAAAAATGAGAGAAGCGAGAAAAAGAAAAGAAATATTATAAATAAATAAGTATGCAAGTAAGCATGAAATATGAGTTGTGTTGTGTGTTGGTACTGCAGATGTGTAGGTCGAGAGAATCAGACAGAAGTAGAGAATCTTCCTGTATCAGCAATATAGTTTACGACTAACTCGACAATAACTCCAACTGTTACTTTGTCAAACAGTACTCGTAATAGAAGTGATTCAAGATCCGGTTTAACATCTGGAATCCTGTTAGAGAACTGTGTCATTAGGTTTTCTCTCTCCTTGTTATAATTGGGACACTCAAAAAAGAAATGGTAAACAGTCTCTTTTATTAGACTATTACATTCACAAGATGGATCATGCACGAGACCTTTATCGAATAAGTCACTATTCAGTTGAGAAAACCCGACTCTAAGGCGACAGTAGTGAATATCAATATCTCTACGACTGATTAAAGGTAATTTTGAATTTGATTTTGGTGGTATCAACCGATTTTTTTTTGTAAATTTATTTAAATTAAATGTCAGTTTTGTGTCAAGCGGAAGCTCATTGTAGTACAATGAGCTTTGTACTCACGAGATGCTCGAAAGACTAACGAATCATAAACTATAATCGGCAACGTTGAATCGGAACAAGCTGTCTATCTCGACTTCGTAATGAGTATGTAAGAGATGTAGGCGGTGATAAAGGCAACAAGCTCTTTAGAACAGATGATGTTTTCCCAGTAATGATTTTCTGAAATAGAGTTAATCGATATCTTTTGAAAATCTCTCTTATTGACTCCCATCCTAAGTCTTTCAAGACCCTTTCAGCAGAACTAAACATCATTGCTCCAGAAACAGTGCGACCTGCCTTGTAGTGAGCAGACTCTAAGCGATCCATATTTCTCACTATTGTATTACCGTAGATAACAGAACCATAGTTAAGCTGATTCAACCCGTAAGCCTTGTAGATTATATCTAGAGCTTGATGGGCCAGCACATGTGAAAAAAGTTTCAATAAGCCAGTCAGACGGTCGATTTTATGTAGGATATAATCTACATGCGCTGTCCAATCAAGGTTATTCTTCAAAACTAAGCCAAGATGTTAACGTAGGGTATGGGAGTGTTACTGATGCTGATAACAGGTATTGTAGCAGTCTGAAGTCCTTTATGACTGGAGAAAAGCATAGCTATACATTTACCTATATTCAAATGAAGCTTCCAAGTCACTGACCAATTATAGATGGTGACTAAGTCCTTATTTATTTGATCCACAGCCTTGGATAAGTCATTCCTTTTTGTAATACAATACAGAGATACATCATCAGCAAAGAGTTTCTTTGTGGAGTTGATGTTATCAGCGATATCATCAATAAATATTAAAAACAACAACGGCCCTGGGGCACCCCTCGATTAATTCTTCTCGCCGATGATGTAACACCCTGCAGTGTAGTTACAATCTCCCGCCTAGCCAGGTAACTGGCAAACCAGTTAATGAGCGATTGAGGAATTCCCTTAGCTTTCAGTTTTAATAGCAAGCCTTGTGCCATACACTATCAAAAGCCTTGCTGAAATCAAGGAATGCAGTCAACACAGGCTCGTTTTGGTCGAAAGCTATCAGTATCTCATGTGTTATGGATACTAATTGATTAATGGTAGAATCATTCTTCTGAAACCCAGACTGGTTTTTATTCAGAAGTCCGTAATTCACGAGATACCCATGCACTTTTCGATATACAATACGTTCTA